ACTCGGTTCATGATCAGTTCAGTTTGCAACCAGAATCATGGAAAGAAGTTTGTGAACCAAGGTACTGCTGTACTCACTAAAGCACTATGGCCCTAGATGATGCATTCAGCACATTAATTTCAGGCTCTTGGGTCCAAGGAGCAATGAATTGCAAGTACACAGCTGATGGTAAGTGAAAAGCAGCTACGTGTATTAAAGAACATGGGAAAATGTGCTCAGGGCAAATCTGTGATGAAATTGTGCCATGAATAGTAAAGTGGTGCTGGGATGACAGGAAGTAGAAAGCGCTGCACACAGCGACCAGGGATACAGCTCAGCGGCACTGCGCCTGCCTGGCAAGCACAAGTCACGAGTTTGAGCCCTGTGCAAGGTCGGGGGAGATGCTATGTTCAGGAATGTAACAACCTCCGTGAGTGTCAGCATTGTACGCCATAAACATGAGCTAGGATTAATAATATCAGCAGGGATGGAAATGGAGAAAGCAGAATGAGAGGAGGAGGGACAGAGGGAAAGGGAAGGGGATTGAAAAAAGAAATGAACTGCATTACGTGCATGTGCCCTCTTCCCAAGATGACTATAAATCACATGTACTGGGGCTGGGGATTTAGCTCAGCGGCATAAGCACCTGTCTTGCAAGCAGGCAGATGTGAGTTCAATCCCTGGTACCGATAAAAAAAAAAAAAAAAATCACATGTACTACCAACATGCATGAAAAGAAAATAAGAAAAACATTTAAGAAAACAGTCTGGACACTGAGAAGAGGAAAACACCCAAATCAAAGGACAAAGAGTGAAGAGAAAAACAAAACAAAAAACTCAGTGGCTGGAAGAAGCCCTTCCTGAAATGCCCCTGGAAGGCTCCAAGGAGAACATTTCCTGAGCTCATCAGGTAATTAATTAATCTGGACTCCAAATGAAGCCCAAGCAAGCAGTTTGCAGCTGGTTATGAGAAGCCAGGCTTCAGTGTGATGCACAACTGTAATTCCAGCACTTAAGAGGCTGAAGCAGGAGCATTGTTGTTTGAGGCCCACGTGGGCTCCATAGTGAGTTCAAGTCCAGCCTGAACTGCATAGTGAGACTCTCTCAATAAAACCCAACAAAACAAAACAAAAAGTTCAAGCCCAGCCTAGGCAATTTAGCAAGCTCTTGTCTCAGAATAAATAAGGCACTTGAGATGTAGATCCATGTGAAAGCTTTGGGTTTAATCCCCAGCACTGCAGTGGCAGTGATAGAGGATAACAAAAATAGCAAAATAATAAATGTCTTAACACTTGCTGGTAGAGATGCTGGCTGAGAAAGGTTTGCAGTGTGGCCTTTCTGGCCTAAAAAAACATCTTACCCTGCCCTGAGAGCCTTTTGCTGTGCACAGATGCAAAGCAAAAAACAGAGCTGCTGGTACCAGAGAAGCCACCATGGAGAAACTTCTAGCCCCCCTCCTGCTGGGGCAAGTTGATTAGCAGGCAGAAAGAACTGACCTCAGTTAGGTGCCTTCTAATTAGCAGCAGTGTCTGGGGTCTGGGGCCCTTCTGCTAATGCCCCTCAGGGCCCCTTAGGACTTTGATGGAGGCGGTGAGTAAGGAGAAGGGGGCCTGAACTTGCAGGGTTGGGGGTCCAGGCACCTGCTCCTGGCAAAGGGGGTCCTGTTGTCTTTCAGAGGGGCAAGACTTCAGTGAGATTTTGCCACTAGTAGACAATGACCATCAGGCCTCCAATCACAGGCAATTGGCTATTTCTGATGTGGCTGCCTGCTTGGCCTACTGCTATGAAAATGGCTCCAATTAAGTGCGTACACATTTGCATGTGAAATGGTGGGCGAGTGCTTGCCTAAGAGGCAATTGTTGCAAATGAAGCTGCCAGTTACTAAAGCAGTCGTTTGTCTTTCCTTGGGATTATTTGTGCCTGGTGAGATGACAGCCCCCCTCAAGCGCTGCCTTGTGCCCTCTCCTCAATTACCCAGCTTCAAATGCTTCCTATGGCTCACAGTCTACCCCCTTGAAATAAACGGGCTTCTATCACTGCTCTCTACAATTCTCCTGTCTCCAAGTAATAAAACATCTGGGAAATTGGGCTAAATGGATAAAACAGTTCCCTGTAATAAGTATCTGGAATTTGTACAACTCTGTCTAATGCATCTTTTAAAATAACCAGATGTGGTTCTGCTGTGCTATGAAGAACCCAGGCGTGTGTAGTCATGCTTTTTATTATATTTAAAATGGAAGGTGTATTTTCCTAGCTCCTTGGAGAAATGCTATCCTGTGGAGCAAGAATTGTTGATATGTTGGTTTACAAACATGAAAAGTATGGGAACCGCTACAAAAATTGCAGATATAATTTAAACAGTGATTAACTGAATACCCAAAAGGGAGTTGGCTTCAGAAAAAGAATTCGGTCTATAAATTTTTCTTTCTCTCTTAGTGAATTTGTTCTGCAGTCTTTGATATTGCTGTCATTAGGCTCTTATCTGTCTTTGGTGACTTTTTTTATGGCTTTAAGAAGAAATGGTTTAATCAAGTTTGCTATTCACATCTTCCCAATTTCTCATTAAGGAAGCTTAGCTAGTAACCCACCTGTGCAGTATCCACTGTTATGGTCCTTTGTGGTTTCCAACAAGATGTTTTTAACATGTATGTGGAGCAGAGGGGGATGGGATGCCTAGATGCTATCCACTGGGCTTTGATTTCATAACTCTCCCTCTACACATGTGTACACACATATTTTTAAATTTTGTGTATATATATATGTATATACATATACAATGTATATACAGATTGCATATATATGTATATATACTATACATATAGATTTAGAAAGTTTGGGAAACAGCAAAATACAAAAAGGAAAATTAAAGAAGCATCTGCAATTCTATCTAATTATAAACATTGTTATATACGGGTATGTATTTTTCACTTTAAAAATTATAATTGTACTCTTGAAAGTAATACCTCTGTCACTTGCTCTTTACACTTTAAATACCATGAATATTTTTTTCTTTTTTGAAATAATGCTTCAAGGCATGAGACTGCATGGATTCATTTTTATTGATCCACTTTCTTAGTTTGAGATGTCACAAATTTTCAGAAATTTTCACCAGTCCATGGTAAACAGACTGGTGAAAAGCATCTTTTTGTAGATCCCTGGTTCTTTTCTAAAGGTTGAATTACTGAACAAGCTCTTCCCTGGGTGTAATGGTATATTTCCACTCTCCCGAGGCAAGTGTGTACATCAAGGTTTCCTGCACACCTGCAGGTCTCTGCTGGTGACAGCTCCCCGAGAAAGTCCTCTGCAGCCTATTGGACGGGTTACTCTGTTTTTTTGGTTTGACATTTGCCACCTATCTTAGATCATGAGTTGGAAATTTTTGTTTTGCCAGATTTTCCATCCTCCCTTTCTTCCTCAGTCTTCCTTAGAAATTTTAAACTCTTCATCCTTCTTTTCTTTTATGCTCTCCTCTCTGTCTTCCAACTTTCCCAACTTGCAATCAAATGATCAATTTAAGCTTTTCTTAAATTTGTTTTTTCTCACATTTATATTTAATAAATCTATCCAGAACTGCTTTTGGCATATCACAAATAGTGGCAAAAGCTAATTTATTCCTTTCTAAATGGTTAGTAGGTTGTCCTTTATTCAATATTCTATTTTTAAAGAATCTATCTCTTAAAAACAGAAGTTGTGTTATTTCTGTATCAAGGTCTTTCTTAAATGAGCTGGGTCTTACACCTGATTTGTCTTTGGTCAACTTCTTTTGCCTGAAAATGGGATTTGTCTCCATTTACTGATTGCAGATTTCAATTCTGCCTAACTCTGAAGTCCTGGATTTGAAATGGATCTGTACTGAAACTAATTCTTCTGAGTTTTGCTCCTAGTGAACTCCTGTTTCTACACAATATATGTAAGCATCTAAAATTTTAAGCCTACAAAAAGTTGGGCAGCCTGCAATTAGAAATAGGTCATCTGTTCTAGTTAGACAATTGACACTGAGTGTCTGATAGGTTCCCATGTGAGTCTCAGGTGCAATTCCTCCATTGTAAGCCGGTAGAGAATTTGAAGTAGGTACTTTTAAAAGTATGTATTTCAACACTAAACACCTCTAAGCCCAGCTACTCAGGAGGTTGAAGTATGAGGATCTCTTTAGCTCAAGAGTTGGGAGGCTGAGCTGAGCAAAATAGTCTCAAAATATGAAATGAAATGAAATAAAATGAAATGAAACAGGAACTTTCTTCATTAAGTATTATAGATTGAACCTAACCAGAACTGGGTGTGGTGGCACACACCTGTAACCCTAGCTCTTGGCAAGCTGACGAAGGAGGAGCAACATGGGTTTCAGTTCAGTCTAGGCTTTATAGGAAGTTCAAAGCCAAACTACATAAACAAAAAAAAAAAAAAAAAAAAAAAAACAACAACAACAAAACCCAACCACTGAACCCAACCACTGAACTCTGAACCCCACCATTGAATTTGATTCATTCCTCGTCCAACTCAGTTTGCAACCAGAATAGCCTGAGTTACTTTTCTTTGTCCTGAGACAAAATATCTAACACTCACAAGTTAGTGGAGGAAAGGTATATTTTGCCTACCAGTTTGTAGAGGTTTCAGTCCATTGCTTGCAGGGAGGCATGGCAGAGGAGAAATAGTCCATGATATCTCAGGTAGAAAGCAGCAGTAGAAGCAACAGTAAAGCGAGCCTGGTTTTCTTTCATCCCATTCAAGCTGTAGGGCAGATTTTAGGAGAAAATAGTTACTGTTATTTTAATAGTTTTTACTTTGAAATGTAACAACTCAGCTCTAGAATATATATGTATTTTTTAAATGCATGATTTAGAAATTCTAATGGATTTCTGTGCTTTCACGGTATTTTGAACATCATTCCTAAAATACTCAATTCACGTGGTTGGTTTTTAACTGCATAAATAACTAAAGGGTTTATTTGTCCCTCTGTTGTGAACTGGGATTATAGCTTTTGGTTCTAGAGCTTTCAAAACATTTCCTTCAAAATGAATTCCACTGCTCACTTTGGCAGCACAAATACTAAAATTGGAACAATACAGAGAAGATTATCAAGGCCCCTTTGCAAGGATGACACGCCAATTCATGAAGCACTGCACATTTTTAAAAAATGAATTCCATTTGGTTATGCATTCAGCTCCACTGTTAGCATATTTTTTATGTATAGTTCCAGATAATGTATTTTCAAGTGTGTGGTGGTGCCACCACCATCTCAACCACTAGGTCTTACTACTATAGAATGAAAGCAGTCATAGACAGTCCACAAACTGATGCATGTAGTTGAGCCCCATCACATCTCCATTTCCAAAGGAGTAGGCAGGGGACTGAATTTAACAATCCCTGATTTGTCATCTGTTGTCAGTTGCTCACCCTGAAAAATCTCCACATAGCTCACTGGAGTTTAAATTTATATAGCACAATAGTGACACACCTTCCGGGCACTGCCACTGGAAGGCCCCTTCCTGCAGGCAGTCAGCAGGAGCAGAGACACACAGCCAGGTAAGCCCTGTGCACCAGTAGGCCACCATTGGAGGCCCTTGGTTGCTTCGGGCAGCCATCACCCACCAGGAGAATCACACAGACACACCCCTGTGTGCCTGCCACCATCTCAGGAGTCCCAGTGTAGACAGACAGGCTGAGAGAAACAGCTCCACGTCCACATGCCCTTGAGCATCAGGGAAGCCCCAGCGTAGCTGCACAGGTCTGGAGAAGCCTGCTCCATGCCCTGCTACCTCCCTGTAAATCTGGAATCAGAGGAATCCAGGTGCCTGTCCCATTTCCCTACACTATGGAGGAGCAGCCATATGGAGGGGAGTACCTGAGGCCCTACAACCAGCTTGGGAGGAACCCAGGAGAATGTCAAGATGAAGGAGCAAAAGGAAATTTCAGACCTTTAACCCACACAGAACATGTCTGGAAGATACACTCATGGAAGAAAATGGAAGTCACTCACCTGAAATCTCTGAGAGGATAGCAACTGAAGTAAAGAAACAACTTCATGAGATTTTAAAAACAATCAAATCAGAAATAATGTCTCAGGTAAAAGAAGAAATCACAAACATACTGAAAGAATTGCTCAGCAAATCTAAAGAAGACATAGATTTTAAAAAAGGAGCATAGGAAAATGATGGAAACCTTGAATGAATTAAAAAGGAATTATAATGCATGAAACACATTCAAAGAAAGATCCAGGAAATTAAAAATTCAATCAAAAGCTGGAAAAACTACTTGAAAGAGACTGAAGATAGACATTCAAACCTTGAAGATAGGATTGCAGCTAGTGATCATGAAAGGAAAGATCTCTTAAAAATAACAAAGAATCAGGAAATAATTCAATGGCTGCAAGATGATGCAAAGAAGCATAATTTAAGAGTGATAGGTGTAGGTGACTGTTGTAGTCAGGGGTTGTACAGAGAACAATTAAAATCAGGTCATGGAATTTATAATATTATTTTATGATGGTCACCCAGAGTTAACACAAGAAAATGCAGGAAATCTATCCACAACACTAAAGACATAGAATATTTAGCCAAGGGCCTAAATCCCACAGCAATGTCCTGCATGAGTCCAGATGAAGACCTAGAGCTCATGACAATGCCTCCCACAAGTCCAATTGGAAGTCCAGAGCCCACAAACAGGACTCAAGCCAGTTCTTTTACAGATCTGTGCTGGAAAGGCCCAACAGTCAGTGGTAGAAGCTAGAAAGTCCATGCCAGCAGTTTGAAGGAGCTGTGGCTGATAAGCTGAGGTTCTACACTGGAGATAAGAGGTCATGCTCAAAACATAGATCAGGGCTGTCCTGAAAAGCACAACAGTCATCCTTAGCAACATGGAGGCCCCGAGCTCCTCAAAAGATAAGCACAGTCTGGTACATTCCAGGAAGCCAGCATGACGAGTTCATCCTGGAGACCAAGAAGCACACGTCTTCCCCTCTGGAGCCAGGAAGAAATGCTTGATGTAAAGACCAGAGCTTCTCCAGGAGAATCAATGGTTCAAACAGCAACTCATAGGAGAACCCACAGTACCTCAACGGCTCAACACCGCAATGCTTTCCTTCTCCTTCTCCCTTTCTCTATGCTGGCAACTTTCCTCAGATGGAACATCTATGCTCAGCACCATGGTGATTTAATTCTGCTGGTATTCAGTTGACCACCAGTTTCCAACCCATAACAGTGACTAAGCAGGGGTCAACACAAATGAAATTAAAATGCTATTTACAGAAATAATAGCAGAAAACTTCCCAAACAGGGGAAATGGATCTGACATGCAGACAAGTGAGGCATATAGAACTCTAACTACCCATAACCAAAGTAAATCTATACCCAGACACATGATAATCAAGATCCTAGAAATTCAGCACAAGAACAGAATATTTAAAGCTGTTAGAGAAAAGAAATAGATCACATGTAAAGAAAAACCAATCAGAATTATAGCAGACTTATCAACATAAACCATCAAGTCAAGAAGAACTTAGAGTGAAGTGTTTCAAATCTTGAAAGAAAACAACTTCCAACCCAGATTTATATACCCTGCAAAACTATCTTTCAAAATTGATGGAATAATAAGATACTTCCATGGTAACCACTGTTGACATCCTGTTGTCTTATTGTGAAGTCTTGTGTTACTTGCATTGTTCTGTTCTGATTTGCTTTGTTGTTTTATTCTCTATAAAATAAAAAAATTTTAAAAATAAACAAATAAAACCCTCTTGAATGATCAGTGGGTAACAGATAAAAATTAGGAAATTAGATGGCTTCTACAATCAAACAATAATGCCAGTATGACATGTCAGAACTTATGGGACACAATGAAAGCAGGCCTAAGAGTGAGGTTTATAGCAGTGAATTCCTATAGTGGAAACAGAATACGCTCAAATAAATTGTTGGGTGATACACCTCAAAAGTCCTCGAAAAACAGGATGAATCCAAATCCAAAGCTAATATGCGGAAGGAAATTATAAAGATCGGAGCAGAAATTAATGAATTAACTGAACTGAGACAAAATAACAATACAAATAATCTATGAGTTGAAGAGACAGTGAGAACAAAACATACAAACTCGACTATTTTTATTTTAAAAGGAAAGAAAAGACTCAAATTTATGCAATTAAAACTGAACAATGTGAAATCACAATGGGTTCTGCAAAAATCCAGATTCTAGATAAGTACTTTGAGAAACTGTACTGAAATAAAGTGGAAAACGTAGAAGAAATGAGTATATTTCTGGATACATATGAACTACCAAAGATGAACCAAGAAGGTATGAAACCCCGAACAGGCCAATCAATATCAGTCAGTGAAATTGAAAATGTAATAAAAAAAATACCAACTAAGAAAAGTTTGGGTCCTGGTGGATTCACTGCCTACTTCTACAAAATTTCTGAGATGATCTAATGCCAATACTCCTCAAATTTTTTAATGAAATTGAAAGGGAAGCAGTACTCTCAAAGTCATTCCTGGACACAAGCATTACTCTGATTCCAAAATGAGAAATGGACCCAACCAAAACAGAGAACTACAGAACAATCTCTTCAATGTAGATAGATGCAAAAACCCTCAATAAAATGCAGGCAAGCAGAGTACAGCATATCATCCAAAAGATCATACTTCATGACTACATGGAGGGATACAGGAATAGTTCAACACACAAATCAATGAATGTAATTCAGCCCATAAATAGAAGCAAGGACAAAACCATATAAGCATCTGAACATCTCAATAGATGCCAAAGAAAAAAAGCATTTGAAAAATTTCAGCATCCATTTATGATTAAAAAAACCTTCAAGAAAATAGAATAATGGTCAACTTATAACACTTAGGTGAATTGAATCAGCATGGTGCTGGGAGTGGAAGGCCCCCCTGAGAATTGTGGCCAACAGCATAAAAACAAAATTGGAGGGAAAGATGATGTACTGTTGATTCTCCTGCGGAAGCTTGTCACGCTGACTTTTCTGTCATCGGAGAAGCATGGGTCCTCACTGTCGCTGAGGATGGTTGTGGTTCTTTTCCAGAGCGAACTGGTCTTTATCTTGAGCTTCACTTCCTGGGTCCCATGCAGATCCTCAGCTTGCTGGCCCAGATCCTTCATCCCTCTGGCACAGACTTTCTAGCTTCCACCACTGACGTTTGGGCCTTTTCAGTGCAGACCTTTGATACAGACTTGCATGAGACATTGCCATGGGCTCTAGGTCTTCAGATGCATTCTTTGGTTCTCTAGTTATGTGGACAGCTCTCTTGCACTCTTCTGATTTGACTTTTTGGGTGAATATTATAAAATAATCCTATAAACTATATGTCCTGTATTAAATCCATTTCCTTGTAAACCTACAACAAACTTGGTACCAAGAAGTGGGTTAATTGCTATGATTTTGCCTGGCCATGTGGCTTAAGAGTCTCGCGAATTAATTTGGAAAGTTTTTGAGAGACTGGGCAAAGAGGCAGCCCCTGTATGCTGTAAACCATATTGGAGACTCTGGCTGGAGCCTGGAAAATCAGAATACTAGTGGAAATGCTGCTGGTTAGATGAGGCTCAGGAGGTGTCTATTGAGAAGGACTGCATTGGCTGCAGGATCCCAGGCAGTATAGTGTGTTGACAAAAAGTTGGCCTGTATTTTTCTTGTTTAGAGATATTACCTGGGTGGCAGAAAATTTTCAATGCATGCTACTGTTGGAACAATGGCACAGTTACTCTTGAGAGCTTTTGGTTTGAAATTAAGAGTGAAGAGCCAGAAAGGTGATTTGAAGCATTGGTCAGAGGGGAGGCTCCAGTGGAGATGTGACCCGAAAAGATGAAACAAAAGAATGTGGTTGATGAGAAGGAACAGGATGATGAAAAATGTCCTGAGCCTTTTCACCAGAAGGTAAAAGTGTAAAAGAAATGCAGGTGATTTCTTGGGGGTGTTTCTCAGTGTTGCCAGGCCCTGTTGTTAAAAGTTAATGGGAAACGAAGACTGTGATTTTAACAGCTCTCTTAATATGATTTTAATGTCATTTTAAAATACATATTTGGCTTTTTGTCTGGAGGAGGAGGGGTCCTGGGTTCCTGGGACACCTCGGCCCGTACCCAGCCGCGCCTGGCCATCGGTGTGCGGAGGAGGAGCTGCGCG